TTCTTTTCACCTCTTGCCAAGACTCAAAAGTGAAGATAATAATAAAGTCATTTATCCATTTCTTATTATGATGCTACACCCCTCCTGCTAAATGTCACTGCATTCAAACACTGAGATGCATCCTCTCAGAGAAACAGAACGGTTCTTATGCCGGAGCCAGATTGCCTGGGTTCAAATCCCTGCTCTGCCATTTCCCAGCTGGGTGATCTTGGAATCCATCCATTCTTGACTTCTCTGTGCCTCAGGTTCCTCATTTGTAAAACAGGATGAATAGTGGCCTCTACCTAACCCTGGTTATTGTGAGATTAAGTGACTTGAGCCTTTAAGTATTTTTCCAGAACTTGGCCATCGGGAGCTCTTTAATCTTTAGTACATACTCTTTTTGTAAGCATAGGCGTAATCACGTGTGCATTTACATTTCAGATTCTTTTCAGTTGTTACACCAAAGGTGGCCATTCACCCATAGGCCACATCTAGTCACTGGGTGTGTTTTCAAATGGGATTTAATAGCCAATATTTAAACATTACAAAACTTTGCACATGGACAAATCCAGATTTCTGGATATTCTTGGAAACTTGGAAGCTGCGACCACAATCCAGGTTGGCAGTAGTTGTCTCCTTCGGGGAGGGCATGAGCTCACCACATTCTCCACCACTCCCAGTTGTCTCCCACACAGAGGCTGAATGTCAGTTGCCTTTCCTCATCATGCTTGTGTGGTTGTTTTTCTTAAACTAATAATGATTATTAATTATAGGTCGCACTTCTAATGTACCCACCGCTGGGTGCCAGGCACTGTGCTAAGTGTATTAATTCAAAGTAACTCATTCCATTTTCACAATGACTCTGTGGGGAGTACTGTTACAATACCATTTTCTACATAGGGAGGTCCAGGCACAGAGAGGTTAAGTCATTTCTCCATCAAAGGAGGGGAAATAGATGACAGTCTGAGGTGACCTTGAGCTTCAAAAAAAATGAATTTGTACTTGTATTCACTTCCTTTTGCTGCTGTAACAAATTCCCACCA